CTACCAGTTACTTGTGGGGAAAGCATCATCCTCATATACCTCAAGTCTAGTTGATTTCACAGCTTCGTCGGTCTGGTTTAGGTTTTTCATTTGCATTCGTTGTGCTTTCGATACCCCCAGTAGACATTCCATACCAAGGCATTCTTTCATGGTTCATTTCCCCCCCCCCCCCCCGTCCTACTAGTCCCACGTTGTGGATTTCTTAGTCAATCGGGAGGATGGCAAACGGATTTTACTCGATTACTGCACTACTCTCTATAATCAATCTGTTTCCGAGGCCTTGAGCTATGAGGCATCCGATTTTGATGGAGACTATAGCTTCCACGCCGATGGGCTGAACCAGAGACTTGACGATTTTGCTTATATTTTCAAGCGGTTCGCGGAAATGCGTCATCCACATTCGCGCCGAAAGTCTCCAGTTCACCCTACTATTCTGGGGCCCTACTCGAGCTTTTCCACTCTTCCCGCAGATGAGGAAACAGAGAACTCGGCCGCATCAAGGAGGATGGTAAGTTTCTGTTGCCTTTCAACCGCCGCATTTGGTGCTTCTATTTTTGATCAGGGTATTTGTTCTTTTGTCCCGGCTTTGCACCCTAAAACTACCTTTGTTTAACTGGGGATGGAGCGTCTCAGAGAATCAAGATCCGTCCGCTCCAACGGGGTGCTTCTATTCGATTCAAGTAGAAGACTTTTTCTGAGTGACGGACTGAATTCCTATTCAGAATACTCCGAGGGCTGGTGTCCAATGGGACGGCGAAATGTCTATAAAAAATTCGGTGTTTGGGCCTGTTATAGGAAACACCCTTAATGTCGGCATATTGTGAAACTTCTCGGCGTTTGGACATGACTAGACTGGGGTTCAATCCTTGATTGGTTGCCCACACTAAAACTGGGCGAATCACACGTAGACTTGTCGCAGTCAGTACTCTCCGCTGGTCAAGCAACTGTTCATATAATGTCATCGTTTTGAGGTTTAACTGGATGTGGAGCCACTCCTCCCGGGGAGGAGATCACTTTTTTATTTTTGCCACGTGGTTATTATTACTATCACGTGTTGCCGAATAGCTGAAATGATCTTGCCGGGTATCATGTCTTTTTCACTTTCAGTCTATGGCCATTGAAGACGGGTATGCCCCAGCATTCCAACGTCCTTTCACCGTTTCCCAAAGTGACGTGTACACCCATATATTTCTCGTCGCGCAGGGGAATGAGGTAAGGAGTTCAACAGTGCACTAACTTTATCCAGTGGTTATCAGACAGTTGGGGTTCGCAACGGTGTGCCTACGTGTTGCTTCGGAATTTATACACACCTTTATACATGTAAATCATACACACTTGTTACACTGCCTTCAATCCTGTGGACAACTTTTTTTCGCAAACTCTGGAATCTGTTGGAGTTCAGGTTCACATCACTCTAGTTTGAGCAGTCTTCCTCATGTCCTGGTGTAATTACTCTGGCGAGTCCACGCCGAAAGGGGAAGCTTCGGACACGAGTTGCGCTCTCCTTAGA